TTTTTAAGAATCCTCTTAATTAGTTTTAAAAAATGAAAAGCCCAACTCCCAACTCTAATGGAAAGCCCATGGGCTAGAGGAAACTAGAATTCTATTTTCAAATAGTTCTAACGGCCCAAAACAAGAAACCCGAAATATAATAGTTAACTTAAACTCTAATAGCCAAGAATAATAATTCAAAGAAGAGTAGAATTTACGAAGGAAAATCCTAAAACCCCTGAATTTAAGATTTAACTAAAAAATCTCCTACACAGGTCGAGAACTTAAATTATCTTAATCCAATGAAATTAAACTTAATTCTAATTTAGTCAAAAATTAGAATTTCAAAGTTAGAAGATCCAAGAATTAAAGTTATCAACTTAGGGAAAAATCCAAAGACATTATTTATCTCTTAAAATAAACGAGTCAGAGAACGCGGGGCGTTACAAAATCGGAGTGCGTACTAGAACCGAAGACCACCGGGGCTGAGGAGCAGCATGCCTGCCCCGCAACCTTTCTCATTGGATGAACCATTCACGTAGAGTGTCCACTGGTCACGGACATTGCTCCCTTGCCTGGGTGGGGTCAGCTCAGCGACGAAGTCTGTGGTTGCCTGACCTTTCAATGTCGTTCTGGGCTCGAAGGCAATGTCGTGCTCACTAAGCTCTAAGGTCCACTTCATCAGCCGACCTGACGTTTCGGGCTTGTAGAAAATCTGCCTTAAGGGGAAGTTTGTCGGAACGATTATCTTATGTGCCTGGAAATATGGTTGTAGTCGACGCGTCGAGGTTATCAAGGCTAGAGCTAGCTTCTCAACATAGGGGTAACGAGCCTCGGCCTCGGTCAACGATTTGCTTGTGTAATAAACAGGGCTCTGTCGCCCTTCTGCCTCCCTGATAAGTACTGAGCTCACTGAATTTTCCGACACAGCCAAGTACAAGTAGAGAACGTCGCCAGGCACCGGCTTGGACAACAACGGAGCCGAGCTGAGGTACTGCTTCAACTGCTGGAGTGTTGTTTCGCAATCGTCGGTCCATTCGAACCGCCCCTTTTTCCTTAGCGTTTGGAAGAAGGGGTGTCACTTGTCAGTGGAGCGAGATATGAAGCAATTCAGGGCTGCCAGACGGCCATTCAACCTCTGTAGCTGCTTAATATTCCTCGGTGCCTCCATCTTGAGGACTGCTCTTATCTTGTCCGGATTTGCTTCAATTCCGCGTTCGTGGACCATGAACCCGAGGAACTTTCCTGACGATACCCCAAAGGCGCACTTGCTCGAGTTGAGCTTCATCTGATACTTCCGAAGTACGCTGAAGGCCTCTGCCAGGTTGGCCAAATGTGAGCTCGTCTGCTTGCTCTTCACCAACATGTCGTCCACGTACACCTCCATGTTGCGCCCGATTTGTCTAGCGAACATCATGTTGACCATCCGCTGATAGGTCGCCTTGGCATTCTTCAGACCGAAAGGCATGACGTTGTAGCAATACAGCCCTTGGTCGGTAACAAAGGCAGTGGGCTCTTGGTCGGCCGCGTGCATCCGAATCTGATTGTACCCGGAGTAAGCATCCATGAAAGAGAGTAGCTCATGCCCTGTCGTTGCGTCGACGAGCTGATCTATCTGAGGTAGGGGAAAACTGTCTTTCGGACACGCCTTATTGAGGCTCGTAAAGTCAATACAGACACGCCACTTACCATTAGATTTTTAACTAAAACAACATTAGACAGCCACGCAGGGTAATGAACTTCTCTTATGAATTTAGCTCGTAGCAACTGTTCCACCTCTTTACAAATTACATTGCTCCGCTCGGCGTCGACAGGTCGACGCTTTTGCCTCACAAGTCTATAGCTAGGATCTATATTAAGCCTATGTACCATGATACTTGGATCTATGCCTGACATGTCGTCGTGGGACCAGGCGAACACGTCAGCATTTGCTTTCAGAAAATCGACGAGCTCTTCTTTTACCTCGGCCCCAATCTGCTGCCGACACTAACCTACTTTTCTGGCCCCAGTAGGGGAACAAGTTCTAGTTCTTCAGCTGGGGTACCGCAGCTCGGCTCTGGTTCGTCGGTACGTGGCCCCGTCACGTCTGTGACCACTGCACCTGTCTCTTATACACATCTGGCTAGAGCTAGCTTCTCAACATAGGGGTAACGAGCCTCGGCCTCCATCATCGACTTGTTCGTGTAGTACACAGGGCTCTGCCGACCTTCTGCTTCCCGTACCAGGACTGAGCTTACTGCGTTTTCCGACACGGCTAAGTACAGGTAGAGAACGTCACCAGGCAGTGGTTTGGACAGCAGCAGGGCCGTGCTGAGGTACTGCTTCAACTGCTGAAGTGCCGCTTCGCAGTCGTCGGTCCATTCGAACCGACCCTTTTTCCTTAGCGTTTGGAATAAAGGGTGGCACTTGTCAGTGGAGTGACATACGAAGCGGCTCAAGGCTGCTAGATGGCCATTCAACCTTTGTAGCTGCTTAATATTCCTCGGTGCCTCCATCTCGAGAACTGCTCTTATTTTGTCCGAATTTGCTTCAATTTCGCGTTCGTGGACCATGAACCCGAGGAACTTCCCTGACGAGACTCCAAAGACGCACTTGCTCGGGTTAAGTTTCATCTGATACTTCCGAAATACGTTAAAGGCCTCTGCCAGGTCGGCCAAATGTGAGCTTGTCTGTTTGCTCTTCACCAACATGTCGTCTACATACACCTCCATGTTGCGTCCGATCTGTCTGGCGAACATCATGTTGACCATCCGCTGGTAGTTCGTCCAAGCATTCTTCAGACCGAAAGGCATGACGTTGTAGCAATACAGCCCTTGGTCGGTAACAAAGGCGGTGTGTTCTTGGTCGGGCGCATGTATCCGAATCTGATTGTACCCAGAGTAGGTGTCCAGGAAGGAGAGGAGCTCGTGCCCTGCCGTCGCGTTGACGAGCTGATTAATCCGAGGTAGGGGAAAACTGTCTTTCGGGGACGCCTTATTGAGGCTCGTAAAGTCGATACAAACACGCCACTTGCCGTTAGACTTTTTAACTAAAACAACATTAGACAGCCACGCAGGGTAGTGAACTTCTCTTATGAAATTAGCTCGTAGCAACTACTCGACTTCTTTACAAATTACATTACTTCGCTCGGCATCGACAGGTCAACGCTTTTGCCTCACAGGCCTATAGCTAGGATCTACATTAAGTCTATGCACCATGATACTTGGGTCTATGCCTGGCATGTCGTTTTGAGACCATGCGAACACGTCGGAATTCTCCTTCAAAAAATCAATGAGCTCTTTCTTCACGTCGGCCCCCAGCCTGCTACCGATGCTGACCTGCTTATCTGGCCCCAGCAAGGGGACAAGCTCTAGCTCCTCGGCTGGAGTACCGCGGCTGGGTTCTGCTTTGTCGGTATGTGGTGGTG